CTTAAAGGTTTTATCATAAGCTGACATCAATTAGATAACTATAAAGAACCAGGGAGTACGGGATAGATGTTTCGTCCTAGTTTGGGAAGCTTCATCAGGACACACCCGCCGGCGTTTAAATTCAAGAGTCAGATAGGGTCTTAGCGGCTGCAAGGTTTACCAGCTCGCTTTGTAACAGAAAGGTGATGGATTTGAATCCCCAGTGTGTGGCTATTTCCGAAGAACCTCAAACGAGAAGGAAACCGGCGTCCAGTCCTCCTCTAGTTACCCAATGGTTCTCTAACTCATGATGTCAGCTTGTGATTGAAATCCTAACCAATCAAATTCCTGCAAACCAACACTTGATAACAAATAAGTTGATTGAATTAGCTAGAATAGTAATGACAATAAAATAATACACTCGAATGATTGTTACAACGATAGAGGAAAAATGGTTACATAATATGTAGATGGATACGGTAAAACAAGGGCCTGACAAAAACTTCTTTTGAATGCATAACTATTCAGATTATTAAGATGAATTCCGACTGCTTCTCCTGTATATAAGAGTTATATTAATACAGAATAAGGCTGGATGAAGCAGTATGAATAACCTTGAAAGCTTGGTCAAAGTTAGTCTCCAGTACACAATCTGGTACCACTGAAGAGGGAATAGTCTTTGATCTTTCTCTGAAAATGCTGCTATGTGACTAAGCGTTCATAACCCTATCAGGTAGATCCTACTGACTGCTTTCTAGCAGAGGGGATGTTCCATGAAAAAAGGAAGGAGCAAATTCAAACATTTAGCGGTTTTGTAAAAAATTATATTTGTAAAATCTCAGCGATATTGAAATGAGTAATTCCAACGTTTAGTTCGGCAATCTGGTCCGAACTTCTTCAGGGAAATTAATCGAAATTAAGCGTTGGAATCACTCATTTCAATATCGCTGAGATTTTACAAATGTCTACTTCTCACTCGGCGCCCAAATATTATAGAACTATTCTGTCAAATCTTGACTACAGTTCATTTGATTTAGCGGTTTTACTTGACTATTTATTTAACAAGGAATATATGAATATAAATTTCTCTATGAATTATGTACAAAATGGAAAGTTTAACTTTCTGAACTTCTAAGAACTAAAGATGACAATATACAAAGACATAAGACATTCTATATCTGAATTTCAATAGTTTTTATCTAATAAGCTACAAAAGATTGTATGATGAGGACATTGTTCTGAAAAACTTTACTTGAAAAAAGAGACTTAGTGATAAACTCCAAAGCCTCAGGATGGTCAAGGGTGGGTGCCTTGCGCTGCGGGTTGGCCACCCCTCCGCACACCTCTTGAAATGCTCCCATATGACCAGGCGTCTTACATAGCTTCTCCTGAGGAAGTCCTACTCACTGCCTTCACGTGGTGGTGTTTTTCACCGAATTGAGAGGGCGAAAGCAGATGCCCGGCGGTCTCCACCGGGTTGACTGTCCATTGGATGACAGTCTAGGGGAGATGGCTAAACCCTGATTTCAAACCTCCAACGACTGGTGTATGAAGCTCACCAGAGCTCACCGGCAGACGTATGGACAAAGGGCTTGTTGGATGTCCTGGATGTCTGGCCCCATTCAAAAAGGCGTATGAACCGAACTCCGGTCACCGGATCCCAATGGATAGTGGACTCCTTACTCCACTCCTACTGCCTTGTAGGTTACATTTGGTTGTGTAAAGGCTAGAGCTGCACTGTCAAACAAAAGGCCGAGCGATCCTGAGGACATCACTCGTACCAAATTCCCATGAAACTTCATAAACTCTCTTACAAATTGCCGCACCTGGGCAGCGATGATTCGAGACGTTCATGAAGCCGGCTCATCCTCCCGTAGGAGATAGCCGAAGTAAAGTAAAGTAAGTAAGTAGACTCAGCATCCTTGAAAAGTGGTAATGAGACAAAAGATATCCTCAAAATCTATTCACTGGCACACACACACACACACACACAAGAGAATACTAAATATATATGAAGGTAACATTTTTGGTGCAATTGAGATGAAATCGGTCTTTCTTAATCTTTGATTTTAACGTGATTTAGATATATTTAGAAGAATTAATAGAATAGAATAAATTTTGCTCTCAAGTGAACTTATCCAGCAGCTAGGTTAGTCACAATTCACCGATAAAAATACTGACAAATTTAAATTATCATAGCTGAAGTCAAGACCTATCAAAAGCTAACTTTTAGGAACCAATCAGATTTAGGAAACGCTATTGTGGTGAGAGCTGGCTGTTAGCCAAAATCGGTGGACAGTAATTTACGTCAATGTTTATGTCACAAATATTGATCGTGAGAAAAATGAGAACAAAGGCTTTGCGTAGGCGGATACAGTTGACATATATAAGTGATCTGACATTCAAGAAACAGCCAACACCACTTTCAGTGAGAAACAACCAATCAGAAGACTGAGTTTGTTTGCTTGAATAAGCTATAATAATGTACATGAAAATCTATAAATATGTGTTGATTTCCTTAATAAACAATCTGTTCCCTGGCCCTTGTCTTCCGTTGTTACACTATGAAAGGTCATTCCAAATCAAATCATACTTACCCTTTTGAATTTGACAAGGGTAGATACAATATTCTACTCATTCCAATACGTACTTTCTCTGTAAATCGATGCTGGTAGGTAAGGTTATAGTTTTGAAGGTTAGTGTCTCTGGTTAAGGTCAGGATTAGGGTTAGAGCTGAGGATAGGTTAAAGAACAGTGTTAGATATATATTAGTGGATCTCAGAGTATCATGATCTACTGTCATTTGGATGAATACATCTATCACGCATCTTATGAGATCTCTATAGATTATTCGTGTAGAGACTGGGAGACATTCTTACAACAGATAGGCGACAATTATCCGGTGTATTATTATATTTGTAATGTTTTTAATGAATTTTTAACGATTATGAGACTTCTTTGCATCTGAATACTGATTGACTGTTCAAGGTCATCGAGATTTCGCCAAAAATGCTTACTGAAGCAATCTAAAGGATATGAGTTCCTTCAAGTTAGTTGGAGATACGCCTTGCTGACTGGTGAGCACCAACTAGCACGAAACCTAGGTCAACACAAGGCTTCCTGTTAATTGCCTCCAACCATCAAACTTCAGACTTTCATTAACAGTTGTCTTTGCTCAATACTCAAGATCAGATAGCCGGTCAGAAAAGATCAGCTACAAAGAAGGATCCCTGGCAATGAGCGAACCAACCAGGAACCGATTGTGAAACAAATAGGCAGGAAGAAATGCAGGTGGATTGGCCATACGCTGAGGAAACCATCAAGTGAGTGACATCACTAGAAAAGCTATCGCTCGAGTGGAACCCGAAAGGGAGGTGGCGAGTTGGTCGTCAGTGTGAGGGTGACTTGGAGGAGGTCATGTGAAGAGGAGATGAAAGCGTGTGGGCAGATGTGGAGAGGGGTGAAAACGTTGTCAGAGAAGCGGACGCAATGCAGACGCGCAGCTGAAGCCCTATGTTCCTCTAGGAATTAAAGGAAATAATAATAATATAATCATAATCAAATACCAAAAATTAAAAGTGTACCGTGATGGTGAGCCACCTAGTGGCATGCTGACCACATTGCAAACTTAACTGACTGATAGAATTCAGTTTGCCCCAAATAAAGGACTAGACACATCACACTGGTTACTAGCTAGTGTCCAATAAAAAGAACTGCTAATCAGGCGAAACAATGGTGCAAATCACCATCAATGTTCATTTTGTCTTTTTTTTAAGGCATATCACAACACATCCTAACGAATGAATACATTACTTATCGATTTAAATATCATTGTGGTTCTCCCAATAAGTCGAAAGAATCACACAACTGCTGACAAAGTGAAATATCATTATTATTTCAAGATATCTGTTTCTATTCCTCAAGAGATTGAACACTGATTGGCTAAGTTTCAACACAGAACTTGTATAGAAGTGTACCCCTTCAAGTCGTTTTAAAAAAAAGAATTGTTATTCCTTTATATTTTAAGTGAGACATCCGGACTTCAAGAGTAAGTCTTGAAGTTTCAGTAGCAATAGTGTTAATTTTTTTACATGGTAGGGTAGGGAGTTGCTAGCTTCACGCGAAACTCCCCATCTTTACCAGGAATATTAGTGGTCAGGCAAGGTTTAGGAGTACGTCAGCCAAGATTGGAAATGCGAACCACATGAGGCGTGGTTGGTGTGGATTCTACTAGTGGACCGCCGAAATACAACCACTTCAAGTTACCACATTTCATATATATCATAGCAAAGGTAGAGAAAAGAAGGGGAAAAAAGACTCAAAGGGACGATGATCACCAGGAGAAACTATAGTAACACGGAAAAACATGAGGACTTAATGAATAAAGAAGACCACAATGAGTGAATATATATATGCTCCATTGAGAATGACACTTTCAAGCTATTTGTTCTCAGAATCTCTAAGACCTCAACTACCCGGTCTATACCTGCTTATGTGGCTAGCTTAAACGAGATTGTCACGGACCTCATGGATTGATGCCATGTTTGCATCTAACCACCCTGAACTCTTTTCTAATCTACACTCCTGTGTCACATGACACTGTTAGATAACAAAGATTATGGATTGGCATACGTAACACATGCTTTAGCCATCTCGATCAATGTAGATTCATAGCTTCATCGACTCACTAACCATCCCCACCATACCTTAACCCCTGACACCTAATCTCAATATCACTCATCATATTCCACCATTCAACGGTGAAGAAAGAACGCAAAAAAGGTTAAAACAAACGGAGTACTTTGAAGGTTCATCCACCACCATAGAAGAAGAGGCTAGAGGTGGTATTTAACGCCTCGCCTCAACTCACCTTTAAACATCGCCTACTGATAGAGTAAATCCAAAAGGAAGAGGGGACATTATGTGTGAGACTGACAATAGCCCCCCCCTCCCATCGGGACACAAAGAACAACCGGAAAAAAAAACCCCATACTGAATAGCATAAAGATATTAGAACTTACTTATCTGGGAAACGATTGTGAAGTGATTGAAAGTTGGAAATTAATATCTGATCAACTTGACTACGATTAAAATAGATCAGGTGGACTTTGAATGTTCCAATATCTCGATTATTATTATTATTATTAATGAATAAAAAGTGTAATATTCTTAGCATTGGAGTTATTCCACTCCCAGCAGCTAACATGATTAGATATGAACAGGTTGAATTATTTGGATCAATAATTTGTTTAATTAAATTGATGTTGAAATTTCCCATAGGCAGACTGACATCGATTACATCATCTAGCGAAAAGAAAAGAAAACGTTCAAATGAAATAAAATTGGGTGTATAAACGACCGACGTCAACACAGCTTTCAGGGTTATATATATGCCAAATTCCGAAGTTGTTATCACGAACAGTTCGCTTCCATCTCCTATAACATAACAGAAGCTATTGCTATAAGATCGACTAAACCAGAACTTTGTATCCAAAAAGAAGACGTCCAGACGATGTTCCTACTGTGGCCAAATGTGAATTAAAGTGTCTTCTTATCATAAAGCTTTCCTATTCCCCTTAGGTTTTTCTCGTTCGCTATGCTTATTATTATTATTATTCATAATTTAGAATTGAATGATTGGAGTTTGAATTTCAGAAGGGACATGTATCCTTTTTAAGAGTGTAGATACCCCTTGTTGACTGGTGAGTGGCAACAAGCGAGAAACCTAGGTTAGCCTGGGCTTTCTGTTGACAGGCTTCATTCATCCAACAATTTAGTAGTATGTACGTATATTTCGAAAAGCAAAGTACTAAAGGATGTTGTCCATTACTGTTTGTAATTGTCTATAGAAATGTGCTTTCTTCTCATGTTCCGTGTTGCTTGTAGGTGCGTAGCATTGGATGATTGTAAACTTCCTTCTTTCTTTTTTGATTTGAATCTTGCTGTTATAATCCCGGAGAAAATTGATTTCCACTGTATTAAAGCTTAGGCTGCTATTGGTGACATCATGATAGCCACACTCATTGCTTCATTGTGCTCGTGGTTATCATTTGGGTAACTGGAGTAGATTACTGACTCACAATCAGTTGATAATTTTGATAATCCACATTCATTCCATCTGGTCTTGCCGATTCCAAGCACTTATATACTTTCATCTTCTCATTTCCTTGGCTACCTGGGTAGCCTTCGCAGCCTCTTACATTGTAAGCCCATTTCACTTCCTCACTCTTATTCTTGCTTCTATCGGGAGAAGACACATCGGTTGGCTGACTGGCTTCTCGAAGGCTTTCATCAATCAGCTGGTGTCATTTCTCCTCTCCGATTCCACTGAAGAATAAGTGTGGTTTTTAATTTTTTTTTTGTATTTTCAATATTTTTGTTGAGCCTTGAAGTCTCTGTAGCGAATGGATTGATTCTCCGAGGTGGAGTGGCTAACCCTACAGCCAACCCTCTCTCCTTTCGCGGGCTTGGGACCAGCTAGAAAACTAGCGAGCTAGTTAACTAGATGAGGTTTTAGAATCTGAAAGCGGACATAAATTCTTTCAAGACTGCTGATGATACGCTTTGATGGCTGATGACTGCCAACAAGGACAAAACCTAGGTCAAGACCTTCCTATTGCCAACAGCCTTTAATCATCCAAGAATTCAGTAGTATATAGATATATTTCCAAAAAAACAAAGTATTGAAAGACTATGTGAGTTTACCTGTCTCCCTGTCTGCAAAAGTTGAAATCAACAAAGTCCAATAAATAACAAACTTGCCCAAATGTTTGTTAGAGAAGCGGATGTTTATTTACAAGGAATGTTATTACCATTATTATTATTATTGTTATTATTATTATTGGGAGATAGAAGCGATTGAAGTAGGATAATCCCAAGAGATTTAAAAATTATCAATTAACCAAATGCTTCAATCTTGTTTAGACTAAAGCAAATTGTTATGGTTGCATTATTTATTGTTATTGTTATTATTATTATTGTTATCAACGTTCAACAAATACATATAAGTTTAAGTTATGTTTTGTTTTTGAATTTCCCGCTGATTTAATTTTATTGGATCTATATAATATTTTAAATGCAGTATTAACGTCAACCTTACGCTCACTATCTACAAGGTGGGCTAAAATAGAGCTGCTACGAATAGATCTTGTTTGTCCCTTGCTTAACCATGCCACTGGATGATGTTTGGAAATGCGATATGATGAACCTGCCTTATTGTACGCCCTATGAAGCTGGCTCCGCAGCTACAGTCGAACTGGTAGATACACATAGACGCGGAGGCAAATCTAGGTAGTTTATCCTTATTACTCGAACGTAGAATTGGTGGGGGTGATTGTGAAGAGCCAACGTACCTCTGCTGCATAATAAGCTCTTTTAACTGCATTCTTCAGTCGTTGTGTTATTATTTCGCTGAAGTTGTCACCGAGGAACTGCAATTTTATGAACATTGGTTTTTTTTCGGAACTGCTGCCATAGTGACTGTCCTAGGTGATGAATTCATATTTTTCTCGATGAACTTATCTGGATAACCATTTTTTTCTAAGTAATTCTCTAATAATCTTAAGCTCTTCATTGAGGCAGTCGTCTGAACAGATTAACCAAGCTCTATGAACCAGACACTTTACCAGGTTATGTGTTTACATTTCAAAGGTACAAAACTCAAGAAATGAGTGTACTGACCTGTTGTTGTAGGTTTCCTGTACACACTCCTTCTTAGTGTGCCATCTTCCTACCTTCCCCATTCAACAATAAACTTTACCATAGAGAAAGAAAGTAATGACAGTATCTCATTCCTAGACGTCTTCATGGCAAGGGGGAAGATGGCACACTAAGAAGGAGCGTAAGTACAGGAAACCTACAACAACAGGTCAGTACACTCATTTCTTGAGTTTTGTACCTTTGAAATGTAAACACATAACCTGGTAAAGTGTCTGGTTCATAGAGCTTGGTTAATCTGTTCAGACGACTGCCTCAATGAAGAGCTTAAGATTATTAGAGAATTACTTAGAAAAAAATGGTTATCCAGATAAGTTCATCGAGAAAAATATGAATTCATCACCTAGGACAGTCACTATGGCAGCAGTTCCGAAAAAAAACCAATGTTCATAAAATTGCAGTTCCTCGGTGACAACTTCAGCGAAATAATAACACAACGACTGAAGAATGCAGTTAAAAGAGCTTATTATGCAGCAGAGGTACGTTGGCTCTTCACAATCACCCCCACCAATTCTACGTTCGAGTAATAAGGATAAACTACCTAAATTCGTCTCTTCTATATAACATTGTCTACGTCAATACTGTTTGCTCCTAGTAAATACGCTTCCTTACCAAAAACTATATCGACTTCTAAAAGGTCTTCAATACCGTCTACCATGAAGTAATTTGACGTTTTTGTTTCATTCAAAGCAGTGTCATTTTTTATGGCACCCATTTGTAGTGCCGCTACTGTGCGCTGATTCGATTTCGGTGGCTCTGTTGCAGCGACACTTGTGCTCAGTAACGGTCTTGTTACCTTCGCAAGCTCATCGATGTTCATAGGTCATGCAGCGTTGACCAGTTTTGTAATTGCTGAGCAATGTGTTCTGAAACACTTTCGACACAGAATTTTCATCAAGCATATGAAGCGCACGACGAAGTAGACTTGTTAACCAACACCATAAATACTAGAGGATCTCCATCTACTTCTAAATTTGGAGTTGTTGACTGCTCTTTGTCTGTCCGGCTGTCGAACTCCATCACCAGTCGTTTCACCCATACCTTCCACGTTTTTTCACCACTTATCCGCTTAACACTATCTTACGCCACCGTTGCCCTACCTCTCAGCAGCGCGTTCCCAATACAACCACCTTTTGCCCACCGACTCAACGACAGCATAAAAGTCCCACAGGAAGTTCCGTATGCCTCCCTTTTTGAAAGCATCAGGCCGTGGGATCTTCGTTGTCCGAAGGAAACAACACCAAATGTTACAGCAAAAGACAAAAGAATTCAGTAACAGAATTATTTGTCACTTCGATATACAAATGTAGGCGAAATATTATCTGTCATATCTTAGAATCACAATTACACCAAAAAGCTCGGAAAACACAACCAACTCCAAATAATTTATTTATTTCTATGCATTTACGTCTTCAGTGGAACGTAGGGGGCTTCATGCTAGAGGCTTGAATTTTCGGTGCCAGTGATGTTTTCATTTTTACGGGATGGAGTAGTTGCTAGCCTCATATACCCAACCTTCCCTCTTTACCAGTTTTATTATTGGGTTAGAAAGGTAAAGGAGTGAATCGGGTGGGGGGGTGGGATCTGTCGTACCCCGGATCACATGAGGCATGGTCGGTCAGAGAGCATTCTACCGCTGTGCCACCCACGCACAATTTCAAATAATAATGTATACTATATAATGTAAAGTAAAGCTTCAAGCTTCAAGGCTACAGTATCAAAGGGAAATCTGCCATAGCGAAGATATCACATCCAAATGGGGGAAATAAAATGATGACAGTTAAATCAAAAGTTTAAACAACAATTCAGTAATACATCTAAAAACTTACCTTCAGTAATTTTATCTACTAAAGATGTAAACTCTCCATTAGGATAAATTTTTATGAGTAGAAATAATTGATTTTTTGTCTTTTGTTCTTTTTCGGCATCATTATTCATTGAAAAGGTTAAATCTTCACATACTGCTGTATATGGTCTGATGACATAATTACCTTTTTTTTAGGGAATACAATAGACATGAAAGTGATAAACCTTGGTAAGAGGAAAAGCATTAAGTGATGACATCACATTGCTGATGAATTCATCACTTACTAATGTGATTCTCTGGTTGAAACAATCCACACTTTTAACCGAAATAATCAAACATGTTCAAGTCCCATCCAACTTACCTCAGTCTGGACAAATAAGTTGAATCATCCACCATCAGATTATAAAGGTCACTCTTAGCGTGGTATTTGAAAGATCTAGGCAGCGTAATTGAGCTCAGTATTTAGTGAAACCAAGTTCAAATCCTATTATGTCTAAGACAATGTTCAATAAGTTGCTTTCAATTTTTCAAGAAGGTGAATAACTCCATTGAAGAACACTCAACATTTAGTTTCTAAATTGACCAATCTATTCATATTATGGTCCTTGCTTATGATGTAATGTTTGCTGTGCATTGATGAAGAATCCCAAACTGGGACGAAACAGCTGCCCCATAGTCGCTGCTAGTTTTTTAATGGTTCTCCATAATGATATCAGCTCGTGATGAGTTCCATATCCAATCAAATCCCTGCACACGAACACTTGATCATTAACCTGACACTCACTAGCAACTGGCTTTATATACAGGAAGTTACCTGGAGTTCTTGTGAAAAGTCTTAAGTACAGGAGTCTACTAAGTGGTGGTGGTGGGTTACCTTAAATATCGCGAAATGGAGAAATTTGGAGTTCATGGGCCATCGCATCCCAGGAGCTGAATGATCTACAAGATTGCGGTGTAATCAGAAGATACTAGATCCTAATTCCGGTGGTAGGTGCGTATTGATGAAGAGTTCCGAACTAGAACGATACAATTGTCCCGTAGCCCCTGCTAGTCTTTTAATGGTTCTCAGCTAGTGATCAAACCGGCAACCAACCAATCAAATTCCTGCAAACTGACACTTGACATTACACATTAACCTAAGCTAAAGCAGGTCCAGCAGGACCGTACTTTAGAATTAGACAAGACTTCAGAGCTCGGCCACATGTGTCAGCTATTCAACCTGCGACTGTACCCATAATATGAGTTGAACAGGGATACAGAAATTTAAAGGAATCGGCTATTCCAGGGCAGTTAGTTGCTTGGAGGTTGGACGTCTCTAACAGGAATTCGAACGGTGAAAAATGGTTCAAGTATTGGTTTGTAGGGATTTGGTTGATTGGTTACAGGATTTCATCATGAGCTGACATTGGTTAGAGAACCATTGGAGAACCTTGTTGTAACCAAAAGGTCCTGGGTTCGAACCCCGGTGGGTGCATGCTGATGAAGAGTCCCAAACTAGGACGAAACAACTGTCCAGTACTCTCAGGTTTTCCAATGGTTCTCTAACCAATGTCAGCTCATGATGAAATCCTGTAACCGGAAAATGGTTCAGTTATCCAAACGGGAATCAATACTGCTACACAGTTATTGTTCGACTCACCTCCAAACTTTATAGATTAGACTAACAAGCTCTACTGGCGAGTTATTATTAGTAGTTCACCATACTACTCATATCAACTAACAGTAATATAAGGCGTATTATTTTTCATTCCGTCGCGTTCCAAGTAGAACATGTAGATAACTTCAAGTTTTGATATCTGAAGTCTCAGCAGCAATGACGCTTTTATACAAGATAAGATTGCTAACCAAATGCTCAACTACCGGCAAGGAGAGGTTTAGGAGTGTATCTGTCTGTTTTAGACAGAGAAGTTTGCACCGATCTGCAGCAGTTCAAGTCGCCGCACTCCCTTCATGTGGCACACAAAGCAAGAAAAGAAAGTAGAAGAAATGCATAATGGAGACAGTAAACAGAGATGTGAGACAGAGGAGTATTAATAACGAAGAACAAAACAGTTTCGTTGGAAATCATAAGTGACAAGGAGTGGATGCATCTGCGCTGTCATTGAGAACGATTTTGAGCCATATCACCAATTGTTTCCAACCATTGGTTTTTACCGTCCCGATGACCCCAACCAGTCAGGAAGTCTGCACCTTCCTACGTGGCTTAGACTAACAGTTGTAGATTTCATTGACTGATGAAACCATGTTTTGGTTTGACCGTCACTAGCTCTATTCCAGCCTGACCCTGTGTCAGCTAACATTGCTCACTGTCGAGGAAGGCGATGACTAGACATACGTAACACATGTCCTAACCATCTCAGTCGATGTAGCTTCACAGCCTCATCGGTTGATTTCCCCTCTTACCTATCTAGCACTCGACGCCCAACCGCAATATTGCTCACCCTATTATACCATTTCACATGGGAGATAGAGCGCAGGCTGTTATGATCAAAGACAGATAATCTTTTCATGTTATTCACTCTCAATGGTCAGGTCTCACAGCCAGCCATAAAGGCGGACGGAGGGGAGTGTATCAGTCAGCCGGGAGTCGAACCCTGGACCAAATGAACCACTATCAGGTCAACTTGTAAGATAATAGAAACCATAATACATACATAGACAGAAAAATAGAAGCGGAAGACAAACCTTGGTCATCTTTTAAACGAACATTTACATGATGTCCAATCGGTATGCTGATATTCACATGGTTATCAGGCCATTGAATAGACAAAAATCGATAGCATTTATTGTTGTTGTTGTTGTTTTCCAATCGAAACGATTTCATTACTTTACACGCAAAGAATATTTCATCTGTTAAAAACAAATAAATAAATAATAAAATACAGTGAGTAAATAAATAAAAAAAACAGTTAGAATCTGTAAAGGGGCGGGGCGGCGAAAACCAGTAGGAATTTGAATCGAATTGGCGGCTTTGTTATTCTCGCTGTTCAAGGAGCGAAAAATTCACTATAGTTCTCTTTCACAAGCTGAAATTTATATATATGCGATCTGCTAGATACACCATGAGTAGTAGCAAGCGTAAATGCATATGAATACACATACTACTGATTATTTGAAATGAGTAGTTATAAGATACTGCTACTTAGATCAACCAGTGTTCCTTTTTATTTTTAAGCTGAGTCAAACAGAGTACACATTAAGCAGATGTACTGTCTCTAAAAACCAGAGAAACAAACGGTCATCCGCTGTTTAGATTGTGGTGGTGCGATAGAGACGACAATGTATGCCGTCGGAATGTTATTCTCACATGTTTCCACGGTTCAATTCGGCATTGACAACAGCATACTATGTATATTTGAACATTCTATTTCTTGTTGTTCGATGTGAAGCGAAATCATACGCTCAGTTAACGATTTGGTTAACGAATATAAACTGTAGATCTACGATCAGCGTTTAGATTAGTAAAAAATATACCTTTGATGGAGACATAGGGATCTTCGTGCAGGACTTTTAGGTTGTTACGCATTTGAGTGGAGTTCAAGATCCGTCAGCGATGAGACTGTCACTTGGAACGCTGCTGGGAGATTGGACTACTGGAGCATATGATAGTGTGAGGCAAAACACCAACGAACACCACCAGTCAGGGTCATGCAAACTGCTCCTAAGATGTGAAGGACCATACATGGTCATGGTGAAACGGGGTCGCGTATATACAATCATAAATGCAAACAAAGAGAAGTGGGTGGGCGTTAGCGAGCTCCAGAACTCGATACAGTAAGACAAGTTAACAAAGCCACCAGGACCAAGTAGATGGAATCGACTTCAGCGGAAAGTTTTTTAACGGGGGCATAAGTGTGATACAGACGACAATATGTACCAATGGAGTGTTATTGTCACATGTTCCTACAGTTCAATACTGGATCGGCAACAGAATACTATGTATATGTATATTTGAACATTCTATTTCATGTCGTTTGTTCCAAGCCGAAATCACACGCTCGCTGATTGACTGGTTAACGAATATAAACTATAGATATATAAACAGCGGTTAGATTAATGAAAAAAATACCTTGGCTTCCATGTCTTGCCTTCTGATAGGATCCCACATATTTTGGTATTGACTGTTTAAACTTGCATATATGGTATGTTATCATTCTCACGTATTTTGGTAGTGACTGCTAATTTTGTATATATGGTATATTATCATTCTCACGCATTTTGGTAGTGACTGCTAATTTTGTATATATGGTATATTATCATTCCCACACATTTTGTTACTGACTGTCAATGTCGCACATATGGCATATTATCATTTCTCACACACTTTGTTATTGGCTATTAAGGTCAATTATTTCAAATGCTGTTAGCTGTCCATATTGTTGTAAAATGCATAAATACCATGGCTTTCTTTATCGTTGTTGCACCTCAATACACAGTCACAGTCCAGCCTTTGTCTTTTGATATTTGCGTGCTTTACCAAGTCGGAAGGTACGACGAGCAGATAGACAGATTAGTTCAGGCGCAGACAGAATAAGGTGAAAACGTCTTCATTCAATTCCGTGCAGTTATAACACCTTCTGAGGTAACAAGACAACTTCAATCTCTCGATACAGTAAGTACTTTTGGTTCATGTAAGCGGCATCTTATAATTACTACTCATCTCGATCGATTAGTAGTATATATGGCACCAGATATTATTATTATGAATATATTAGAAATTACTTAAAATAATTCCAGTGTGTCTCTGTCTACACAGTTACAGCTTCTTCAGTAGAATTCACTCGGAGCTTATTAACCATAAAAAAATATAAAAAGCCAAGTAACACACAGAGCAAAATTAGTGTGGTCCAAAATGATCTAGTCGATGACACTTTAGAGTAATGGGTTCAAGTCTCTGTGGAAACACTATCTCTAGACACTGTGGAATGTACGTACATCATCCAGTAGCTTACGACTCTCAAATAGGACGAAATGCTAATCATCATCCACCAATTTACCTCAAGTTATATAATAATATAAAAGACTTAGTCAACCCATCTTCATACAGAGCTGAAAGGCAAAGTTAAACTTTAAGCACCACTTACAACCAATCAGCGAATGACTTAGGAACGAACCAATCACATGAAGAAGGTATATTTTGTGTTTATGGAATACATATATATATTTGTGAAAACGAAATGTAAAGAAACTATAGAAAAATGTGTTACAGAGGATACCTTCTTCTCTCAGATGTGATAAAAATAGCTCTCAGTTTTAGGTTGAAGTATCAACAGAGTATAATTCCATTGTCGTCGGTAAAATGTATTTTGATAAAGTCTTATATTGTAATACAGTAATAATTCCTGAGCAATAAATTGTGCTCGAAACGTGATCATCAGTAGATATTACTGTATAACATTGTAAGACTTTATCAAAATAAATTTTACCCATAATGGAATTATACCCTGCCACAGTGCGCAAGTTCTATGCTTATATCAACAGGGTAATTCAACCACATTTTGTGCATGTAATTATTTAGGTCGTCTAACCCTAACAATAACGCCATTCTTTCCTAAACCTAACTCTAACATGAAAATATCCTCCAAACTAACTGGAATTTAACTCTAATCAACCTTAATGTCGTCTTTATTAGGTTAACCTAACCCTAAGTTGTCCTTGGATTAAACCCGCCTCCCCCGACGGGCATTACTAGCTGATATAGGTAGTGCAGGTTGGAAAAGAGTAAGTGGTGGCCAAACAAAAACACATGCCATCAATCCATGAAATCCTCCTTGACAGTTTAACTCAGTCGGTCATATAGGGAGAAGATTCAGACTTCCGGGTTGGGGCCCTCGGGACTGACTCTAGGAATCAATGGCTGGAGACAATAGGTGACATGGCTCAAAATCGTTGTCAATGGCCAGCTCAGATGTATTCAGTCTCTGTAATCTTTCGTATTCCTTTCTACCATTACCCATTCTGTTTCACTCTTATACTTGTCAAACTCTATTGATTCTCTTCACTCATCTTCTTGTCTACCTCTGTGTGGTATTTGGAACGTGGCAACTCGAACGGGTGCACTTGGGTGCCAAGTTCTATGTTGAATCCAGACAGACAGACAAACCGTAACTCAGTCTCTCCCAAACCTATGCTAAAACTTGCCAGATATCCGATGACACTTCGACAAAGATATTTCATTGATGATGACAACATTACGTGCCAGCTCTCAATAACTTGCTCAGTGAGCGTTTGACGGTCACTGGTGCGGCCGCACTCCATTGGTAGTTGTTAGTGGTGCTTACAGTTGAACCTGGCCAGGCGAAATATCAAACTGAGGCCTGGAACTTCTGTCCATACAACCAATCAACAAGAAAATACAAATTGAATTAAATATAGTGAACTTATTTGAAAGTATATATATATATATATATATATATATATATATATATATGTCGGTAAATATTTCGAATGATGACGTCAACTTGTCATTGGTGCAATTTTTATCACATGTGTACATATGTGTGTGTGCGTTGTTCGTTGTATGAAGAGTAGATCAATTGATAAGTGAAAAGATTACCATAGTTATCACTTGGTACAAAATGTTTCTACCGACAAAAATGGTGACCTTCAGACAAGTAGTTCACCTTCATTTATGTATTCTTTGAGTACATATTATATTGATTATAAGGTTTTCCATGAGCTGACAATAGTAAGATAGCCCATCCAAAGACCACAGAGTACTAAACAGCTGTTTCATCCTATTTTGGGGTGCTCTTCATCAGTACGCATCTACCTCGTCAAGGTTCGAACCCCGGTTACAAGGGAAACTCGTAGGACATTTAGCCACTGGTACACAACTCAATGAATTCCAACTTCTGCTGATTCGTGATGTATATATCTGGAGGAACCATTAGGCAATGTCATCAGTAGGTATTTGTCCTCACTCTCGACCAGACGGACATCACTGGTCACGACTTCTCAATGGAACCCTAGATAACCTCCTGTATAGGGTTAGTAGCTAGTGAGCACCAAATTAATGAAAAAGTGTTGGTTTGCAGGTATTTGAATGGTTATACATTGATTATGCATCGGTTATATACACTGATGTCTTACATAGTAGGAACTTCCTGATCATTTGTGTAATCAATGAAATCCCTGTTAACCAACACATAGAAATCGATCTAGTACTCACTGGTGACCAGTAGTGTTCACCAAGTTAGGTGTGACGATAAATATTCACCGATCAAACTGACTGGCAGACCCGCACTATACACATAAAAACAGGTGGAAGTTAGAATTCATGCGCCATAAAATTTCCTTTCACTGTAATTGCTCAGAAATCAACGAACCCTTCTTGTAACTTGAAGATTCAGGGTCCAATCCCCTCCCTTCCTCCCTCCACCTGGGTGAATATGGTGATGGGTGTATATTGTCGAAAGATTCCAAATGAGGACAAAGCAGCTATCTAGTACTCCAGTGCTTGTTTTCATAGCTCCTAAAAGCTGAAACCAGTTCGTTATCAATCTTGTATCGGGTCATATCCGGTGAAATCTAGTGATGAAAGTTATCTGAAGTTGTTATTTAAGAGCTAAAGCTATTTCCGGAAATTTGTAACATCTATGGTCTAGATAATTATATCCTGAATAAAATTTAAAAATATTAGAAAACATTGAAGTAGAATATTATACACCCAGTATTTCCCTTGATTAATTGTAAACAAAACAACAATGAACATATTTGTAGTACAAAAAGAGAGCCCATGTTTCGTTCACCACAGTGTTTCTTCAGCTTCTAGCGCCACCTTCAAAAATACTTCAAAAAAATTATTGGCATGATTTAATTTACAGGGATTTAATTGATGTTTCAAGTTT